AGCGGCAGAATCGATGGACCTGTATGACAACCAATCGCTCAAGTCCATCCACCTAAATACCATTGACCAAGACTCTTGCAAATTTTCTTTCACCCACAAAAGCTGCAAAAATATTTTTTATCAACCATTGTCTGTATATCACACAAGCATAGATAAACTAGTTTCATTTAAAAATCATATATGAAAAATAATTATAAATAGGGCACGTTTAGCACAGCAGTAAGATTGAAAATAGAAATGTCAGCAAGATTGGCAACTGTAGCAAGGAGATAGGAGTTGCAAAAGTGAGATTGAAATCAGTGAAGGGATGATGTCTGTTTGGTAAATATAGTGATGGTAGTGTGGTGAGAAGAGAAAATAACTATTAACAACATTAAGGTAAAAGCGTATTAATGATATTTTATGTATACTTTATATATTATTTGATAGTTTTAAAATCTTATCAATATATTCAATAAAAATATTAACACATTATATTAAATTAAAATAACAATTAATATATTAACTACTAAAAAATATTATATTTATAAACAGCAAATTTATTATTATTTTTGTATGAGATCAAAGTAGTTATATGAAAAATCTATTTGCTTTTTTGTACATTTATTTACCTACTAATATAGTTATGTGCTTAATTATTTAATTGTATATGTATATTAAAGATACTAGATTTAAATTGATATATATAATAGTTTTATAATATATTTAACATTTGAAAAGCTAAAAAAATGAAAATTTACTAAATTATTTTTATATTAAAAAACAAATAGGTGAACAAAAACTAAAAGGAACCAAATCAATTTATCCCATGCCAAAGAGGAGGATGGAGCATGAGTGGGGGAGAGGCATAAAATAGGTTTCCCCCATCTATTTCGTCATCTAATGTTGCACAAGGTCTCACATTGATGAGAATGGATAAATTAGTCAAGGAGGAAGCTTATGGAATATGCCTCCCTTCCCAATCCCATTAGTATCATGATAGCGTGGTGTTTTCTTGGTTACCAAGATCCCACATTGGTAAATTAAGTGATGGGTTAACGGGAGAAGCTTTATAGATTAAGCTTCCTTATCCCATTTTAATTGAAGAAAGCTCCTCCTTTCCTTTCTCCCTATAGTGGGCCTACAAACCATGCATCATCATGTTAGGTCCACATTATGTACCTACGATTAAGCCTATAGGCTATGGTTCAAAAGAACTTCAAATTCAATTTTATGTATATCTGAATAAGGGGTTCTCTATCTCCCCAACACAAACATTTGGAATAAATTGGTTCTATGACTATTTTTCTATCAAAACATGCTGCGTATCCAGAGTAGATTTGCCTTGGGAACTAATTCAACATAGAATTATAGGCTATGCAAAACCATTGGATGGCTAGACTCATTGACTAGGTACCTTTGGTGGCTGCATCTCAGGCGAAACAGATCCACCACAGTATTGCAACACTGGTGAGTTACGAGAGTTAATCTTCTCAGCTTGCTTCACAGCTCTATGGTCCATCCAAACTATAATATTTCTTCTTGAATCGCCACTCCAAGAAACTGTAACTGGTGAGCCATCGGCATCCACTGCCACTACAAGAAGATGCCATATTTTCTTTAAACTTATAAATATGTTTACTTCTCAGTCAAATATATGACATACAGCACAAGTGAAAAGAGTTCTTATTCAAACACCGTATAAGATAATATTTTTCCAAATACAAACCAAGCGAACAAGTAGCTGCAAATCCAATGCCCGTCACTTCTTCCCCTTCAACTTTTGCAAGAGAGCATGCTGACTTCACAGCTGAACAGATTGCATGCCAGATGTCCGTTGAAGATTGCTGGTATAAAAAGATATGGTTTTCATTATCCCAATATATAATCATACCCCCCCGACAGTAATGTTTCTCCGAATCAAAGGAGTGTCAGCATAAACTCATTTAACAAATTGATAGGATCATAGCAAGCTAATTCAGCCACTAAATTAGTCTGTTAAATTCGTGAGCCATTTGAAATTTTCCAGTTCTTTTTACCTCAATACAGTCACCTTCTTTCCATATTTGTATCGGGCTACTAGCAGATCCTAGAAGCTTTCCTTTCTCATCAAAGAGACCTGAAGCAGGCAGAGATATATATAAACAAACAAAATGCATCAATACGGTTGAGCCCCAGGGAAAAAAAAATGCATTATGTGCCTTTTTGTTCTACATTGAAGAAAGAAAGCAAGCAAGCAAGTTTCATGATTAAATTGAAATTCGCTAAATTGGGTTCATCTGTTGACTTTGCTATTTGCAATTCGCTTTTAGAATCATCAAAAGTTGATATAAACGCAAAAGCAAAATGATAAATAGCAAGAATC